CTTAAATTGGTCCAAAACTCGGTTGAGGTTCTAGTTTTAATGAGTTCATCAATTTTGTTATCCCGATATTTGAGTTTTTTATGTCGTAATAACTGTTTGCACTGTCTTCTTACAGACAGATATTTTAGTCGAGATTGCTCGTGGAAAGGATTTTTATGGGTTTTATGTGAAAGGCGGCTTAAAAGTTTTCTTACATTACTGCAGTCACTATCAAAACAAATTTGAGAGTGCCTTTTTTCGGAGTTCTCGTTCACTTTTACCAATGGTAACGAATGTTTGGCAGCAGTTTCTAATATTTTTATGAATTTATCTACTATTTCGTTAACGTCTCTTACATGATCAAAGTTTAAAATTTCAAAGTCATGAATCAACTTGTTAATTACATCGGATTGTTGCGCAGAAGTGAATGAGTCTTTAGAATCTTCTGTCCACTTAAATTGTCTATGAAGGTTGAAGAATTCACCTTCGTTACTTGTATCTTTGTTATTTAACAATGATGAGTCAATTTTTATCCGACTTAGTAGCTGGCAATGGTCTGAAAAAAGGTGATGGTTCTCGAACAACAAACGTTTGGAAAAGGTGCAGAATTTCATGACTAACAACTATATAATCAACCGTACTGAAACCTTGATTTCCGTGAAAAGTAATTTTTCCGAGCGAGTCACCCTTGCATCTTCCATTCAATATTCTTAAATCTAAAGATTTACACATTTCTAGGAGATGTTTTCCTAGATCNGCATTTGGTGCCGAATGTAATTGTTGAAAATGATTGTATAGCTTGCGCAAAGGAACATTCGAGTCAGGTGAAGCTTTTTTCTGAGTCGATAAATATCTTAAATTGGTCCAAAACTCGGTTGAGGTTCTAGTTTTAATGAGTTCGTCAATTTTGTTATCCCGATATTTGAGTTTTTTATGTCGTAATAACTGTTTGTACTGTCTTCTTACAGACATATATTCTAGTCGAGTTTGCTCGTCGAAAGGATTTTTATGGGTTTTATGTGAAAGGCGGCTTAAAAGTTTTCTTACATTACTGCAGTCACTATCAAAACAAATTTGAGAGTGCCTTTTTTCGGAGTTCTTGTTCACTTTTACCAATGGTAACGAATGTTTGGCAGCAGTTTCTAATATTGTTATGAACTTATCTACTATTTCGTATCTGTGGATCATCTAACATGGCCTCAGCGCCTAAATGTGCCATAATGTTAAGTTGGCTGTCTTATTGCTCCTTTACATCTCAGGCACAAGGATCGATCAAACTCTGAAATCATTATCTCATCGCTTATTTCTCGATGAACCAGTTGAGTCATGACTCACATTGTAGAGTTGTAGGAGTCCATCGTCGACTCAGTTTAGATCGCATCGTTTTCCAATATTTGTCAAAACCAAATCTAATTTGGCTTAATTGCATTAACAGCTGCTAACATCAGTCACGGTTATCAAATTTGTGAGCAAGATATAGTCATTCCATGAGCTACATGGAATGCAATGTCTATTTGATTACGCCCGTGCACGAAATGTTTATAATTCTACCTATGACACCTCATCTCTTGTATTTAAAGGGGCTTGTTACCAAGGCTATGCTTATGCGAATATCTTGACGAATTTTAGTAGAATAGCGGACGATGATGCGCTTGATTGCCCAAAAACTATTGAGTATCGTACCGGTGGACCAAAAGGAAACATTTCATGGAGACAAAATTAAACTCCCTTGTCACATGATCATGGTCATATTATTGCTAATCAGTAATTCACAAACGCTTACCTCTTACTTAGACGTTATATTGGAAGCTCGACAAGAGAAAACTCGTCGCATACCGAGACGCACGCGCACGGCCTTCACGCACCAGCAGTTGGGGATCCTGGAGAAATCCTTCAGTAAAACACATTACCCAGATGTAGAGCTCAGAGAGCAACTGGCTGAGAAGACCAATCTGCAAGAGGGTAGAATTCAGGTGAACTGGTAAATAGATTGCTTAGTAATGTCAGCTAACTTTCTTCTGTGTTTTGAGTCTTCTTGTTTGTTACAGCCAAAAATGATTTGGCTCTCTAATTGACTAAGACCCAAAGGATTGCGGGCGGGCCGAGGGGAACAAGAGAACAAGGAGACCTTCCGCTACCCTCTTTCTCCTATGGGAAAAGGCGAATGGATAGCTAGCAAAAAAAGTGCGGGGATGGGGTGGGGTTCGGTATGCATCTCGAGATCCTACTAAACTCCTTTTGGCGTCTATGCGGGATAAACATGGCGCCTTTTTCATTTTTATTGTCCTATTTTTTTTTCATTTTTATAATGAGGCACATGTTTTACTTTTTAGGTTTGGTTTAAAAACAGACGCGCCAAGTATCGAAAGGAGAAGAAAAAATGTCTCCCAGTGCATAGCAATCAGAACTATGAAAGCGAGGATGAGTACATTGCACCCACCTATCAGGTGATACCAACTCAAAACTTGTCATCTTATGTTCAGTTTAACACGCTAGTACCGTGCTACTGCAGCTGTAACGGTACCGGGGAAACCGTTAGACATTTCTGCAGATTTTCGTCAACGGCGTGTACCCATTTAGCCTCACATGCTCAGCTGGCACACGCCAATGGGCTTAACAGTTTGTCGTATCCCATGTCGTATGCGAATAACCAAGTAATGGATCATGCGCACATTGCACATGTGTGGCGAGGATAAACAAGGACAGGAAGATGGGCGATCGCCTCCTGCGGGAACAAAGATCGGATAGCGTTAGTGGCGAAAATCGGGATATGCGATACTCGTGAACTTGGTGCTTACATCAAGTCGTCTTCCGGGAAGAATTGTGGCACTCACATGCAATTTAAGAGGGAAGCGACAGCAAGGCTGCTGACCACGATTCACAGACAGAACAAGTGGAAAAAAGTGCGATTAATTTTTCCAATAACGAAAACGTGAAAAGTAAAAATAACATAAAGATGAACAATGTAAATAATTTAGCGTTTGTTATTTAATTTCGTAGAGGAAGAGATTTTCTTAACAATTTAACTATAAAACACTGCGACAATATGGAAAAACTTAAAACCATTTTGGTTTAAAAACATCGACGACGTTTCAACGTTCGCTTAACGTCATTATTAAGTCAACTGAGTGAATAGTATTTGTACCCATTTTATTCACTCAGTTGACTTGATAATGTCGTTAAGCGAACGTCGAAACGTCTTCGTTGTTTTTCAACCAAAATGGTTTTACGTTTTTTCCTATTGTCGCAGCGTTTTATAGTTGAGTTATTTAATTTATTTAGCGTTCATAATTTATTTTACTATTAGTTTCTTTTTGTTGCAAACACGTTCATGTATTATTTACCGAGCTTACTTAGCTTTTAGGCGCAGCTTGTCAGTGTAGATGGAGTGTGTTGCTGTTGTTGCTATTGCTGCGTGTAGAAGGAAATGCCTCAATTGCCGCATGATTCACTTGGAATTTTCTCTTTCAAAAGCCTGTTTACGATAAACAGAGCTACAAGAAGATAATTTGGCTTTAAATTTCATGTATCGAAAAGAAACCTCTCCAAAAACAACCTTCAGAATGGGGAAGTGAAGTTTGCGTCGGACGAATTCCGACACTGCGAACGGTAAGAGTCAAAAAAAAAAATAATAATAATAACGAATCTTTAGACAGGATTAACCCATCAGTACTATAAAGTACTGTTATCAAAGGGGTCCTGTAAGATTTAAAAATTTAAAAGTTTAAAATAGGTAAAAAGTTAAAAAGGCAAAACTAGTACATTGGGAAACATATAAACTCACGATTAAAAATTACAAATAAAAATGTTCGTTGGCCTTTTGCCTAAATAAAAGCCTAGAGTTCAGAGTTCTTATGTCCACCGGTAAACTGTTAAAAATTGAAGCCCCTAAAAACGAAAAACTCCGACGGCCAAACTCCAAGTTCATTTTCGGCAGTTCGATCGAGGAAAATCTATTTCTTGTGTTGACATTGTGACTTACCCTTGTAAAATAGTTCTTAAAAGGCGTGCATACATTTCCAATTAGACAATCAAAAACATACAGACAGACTTTTCTTTTCAAATAACTGTCAACTGATGGAATACGAATGCCAGTCTTGTTTTGCAGACCTGAGGAAATGCAGCTTAGTCTACGATGTTCGAGGTTGCGAATTAGTTGCCTGCGCGTATTTGAATAGCTTAGTGTGATTAGACTACAATAGGTAAAAACCCGTGCCCGAGACGCAAAAGTTTGCACAGTTGAACTGAAGATTTACAAAAGTTAATGTCAGCTAGTTTAATTGTCCTTTATTGCCACAAGATAATGATTTCTCTTTCATGAGCCCGCTTAACGCGGACACCTTTTATTAATCATAAGGTATTAAGCCTAACAAGTTGAACCCCGCTATTTCGAACTCTCAAGGGAAAGCAGATACAGGCCGAAATAGCCGGAGTTCGAAATAACTCAGGGTAAATGACTGAGGGTCAAATCCAAGAGAAATGGTTTTGTGTTTGAAATAACGGGGAATTCGAAATGACCGAGTTCGATTTAGCGGGGTCCAACCGCATGGCCTTTTCGTCAAGACAGGCACAACTGTCCGTATTAAGTGGGTGTGCATTCATTCTAACAGCTCGCTTCATTCGGACACTGGGATAACACGCATACTGATGTGTCTTAATATAGGTGACTTTATAAAAGTAATTGTACTTAACCGTTGGATTGTTATGAAATGATTAGTTAACTAAATGATTGATAATAATTTCATTCTACAAAGTCTACGTACAGCATTAAATGCCGGCTCACATCATACCCAGCAAAGATTACACTTTTGCTTATGGTTACAGAAACAATTCATCAATGTCATATACCTATATTTTTAATTTCTCCCCGAGTAACAAAATATACAGCAAATCGAATGATGTGGTATTTTTATGGGAAATAATGTAAGTGATTCAACCCCTTGTCAGATGACGTTTTCCGAACAGTCAAATAATTAAATTGCTTCCTCAAGGTCAAAACAACGTTCGCTACTTATCTTATGGATAAAGAACTACAGTAAAATATCAACGGTTTAAGACAATTACCAACAAAAGCGCTTGGTAATCTCATTAATAGAAAGCAACCTTTTTCGTGCACGTGGCGAAGGGTCACTACGACAGAGAAAAAATGTAAACAATATAACAAGGAGTGAGGAGGTCACTGTTTCAATACCTTCGAGGAAGTGACACTGTTCAATGATTTTCTTGAATAAGTTTACCGTTAAAGCAGGAAAGCAGGACATTGAATGCTTAATGTAAATAAGTTACGTTTCCACAACTTCGTATCATCACGCCGACTTCGTGCTCTACTCGATTTGATCAGTTATTTTTTTTATCGGAGAAACACTTCTGAGATTAAGTTTACCATCTTGGCGCCAGAAGACAAAGATAGACCATGGTGATGCAATACAAGATCGCTTCTAGAGGAAAAAAGAAAAAAAGAGAGGAAATATTGAGAATATTACATGTAACTAGCTAAGGAGAAGAGACAACTTACTCGACTAACTTAAATTGTAAAACAAATATACTTTAAAAGTTAGATGTATTTCTGTTAGAGTAAAATCACGACAGATTTTGCATTTTTTGCATCATTCACTCCAGTTAATTGCTCTATTCATGAAGTCTTATTCTTATCTTCTAATCAAGGGCCTGCCCCTCAAAACATCTTACGAAGTAACGTCTAGCATTACCTAAAAGTTTGTTTTATAGGCTTTATAAGGTAATAAAGGTTTCATTGTTTTTCTACTGGCCGTTTGACAAATGCAATTACAGCATGCGACCTCGGCTCTTCGGACAGTGCATTCAGGCGGTCGGCGCTAATTAATTACTTTATTGGAACACTGCATGGTAAATTCTAAATGGACCCGTGGTCTGGAACAACAGATGGAAATATTTGCAGCATAGAGAAGCAAGCCAGGTGGTACTTTGTCCCTTTGTATAATCTGTTGCCACACATTTTTTAAAGAATATTTGACATAATATTCGCCAAGAGGTAAAATGATAATATGTAAGGCTAAAGAAGAAGGAAAAAATAATATAAAACGGAACGTTTTCGACTTATTGATGACAGAATCTCGAGAACTTTTGGTTTTGTGATAAAATAACTTTTATTCTACGACAATTCAAGCCGCTTGCAAAATGTAATATTTCGCTCACATAAAGGTAACCAGAGAAAGAAAGGTAAAGAAATCAGCATGTTTTATTGATGCGTTATTTGCTGTTTTCTTGGTACAATCTCTGTGAATTAATGTAAAACTTGTTTTTTGAGTATAAACAATATCGTTAAATCCCAAGCTGAGCTTTAACCTTTTATACGATGTGCGAAAATCGTGAATGAAAAACGATTTCCTGCAATTGGAGTAAGATGGACATACAATATCCTAAACTTCATGTAATTAATCATCCATAATTAATAAATTGAAAAACGATACATGGGGTAAAACGGGTCCCACACACATATTGGTATTATTTTTTCACTGATTGTGTTAACATGTATTAAATAATAAATGGTAGATACTGCTTCCAAATACCATTTGAAAAACTGGTGAAAATTGTTTTTAGAGAGTCTCAATGAAACTAATTATAATCCTGCATTGCGAGATTCAATATTTGTTGGTTCTTAACTCCCCTTGGTAGAAACATACAAAGCAAACGTATTGCATACTAAGAACATAGGTTGCTTCTTCTCTTTGAAAAACTAATGAATCAACAAGAGATCCTGAACACAGACTACAGCTGTGACACGATAGCACTCTACTTTCTTCATTTGCTGCGCGACATTTCTGCTCATTTGTACTTGTAGCAGAAAGACTCATAAAACGGCTAGTTGTCGCTGCATACTTACATGTTTAATCTGTTTAGTTCCTTTACTTTACGGATGTTCGGCGTTTATTCGTAATTAAAACCATGGATTATGCCTTAATTTATAAACCGATAGGCGATAAACATCGGCGAGTATTAATGAACAAAATTCCAACACAATCTCACACACGCCGCCTCTGTCGGTAAGCATTTGAGAATGAAAACAATTTAATCCTGTAAACAGAACGAAAACTTAAAATAAACTGACTAAATGGCTGCTGATGGATGCCGTCGAGAAAAAGCGAGACCAATAAATCATGCCTTGGAAGGGTATCACTATTGGGGGATTTGTATGCATTGATACTATAATCCTGTGACACGTGAATAGTAACAGCCCCATCACATATGCCTTGCCTGATACACACCAGGTAATCCAGGTTTTTTTTCATTAAAACTTGGCTCTCTTGATAATGAAGTTGAAACATCTTGCAACTTAACTCCACAAGGAGATAAGCGGTCCTTGACAGAATGTAAACGTTAAGGTGTCTAATTGCTCATTTAATGGCATTAGCACATCATTCTTAAAATAAGTAAGGATGAAAGAACTAGGAAATGATTATTTTCTCCGTCCTTTTGGAGCAAACGTCTACGAATTAGAGTGATTTATGTTATGCATTGCACGATTAAAAACGTCCTTCAAAGCTGCTGTTACGTTAACTACTGGCATCTGCGACAGTTTCTGGAGCATTTATCAATGTCAACGTGCGTGGCTTAATTACATTAGCAGCTACAGCAGCTTGTAAGCTAACACGATCTGATTATGAAAAGCACACATGACACACATATACGAGCGTCTGCGATGCGAAGGTACATGCATTGCAAGTATTGAGGTGCTGCAGTCAGGGATAGAACACAATCTGACAGTCTGTCAGAAAAGAATCAAATACATCGAAGGTAGCGGTACGCTATTCCATAATGGATACCAATCCATTCTCAATTGAAAGCATTCTGAAAAAGAACTCGTCCACGCCGACTGATAACACAGAGGAACCCAAACCTTCGAAATCAACAGAGGCCCTTTCACTCGCTGTGAAACTAGCTGGTAAGTTGCAATTTATCCAAGATGACGCTTATTCAGGTCCATACATGTAGTAAACCATAAGTGTCTAATGAAAGATGTCTTGTGTCGATTAAGTTAGATCCCAGAATCCGCGTTAAAGGTGACAAATAAAAGAAAAACACACTAGGGCATTATTTTGAGATCAGATCGTCTGGGAGAAGAAACTGTGCAACAAATTAAATGTGTTATCATATCCCCCTCGTCCGTAAAATAATTGATGGTAAGATGTTGAATGCGACGTTTAAATCTCTAAGTTTTAGCCTTCTGAGATCTATAATCTCAATCAAAACAAATCGCATGTTTGAATAACAGAGTGCGTACTTCAGTAGAATAGAACAGGATTGCTATAATGGTGCTCGGTTACCTCGATGGACTATCTTAAACTCTTTATGGCCCATCAAAAACGAAACGTGAGCAGTTATTTCGTAGACGTTTAGCTTTATGTCAAATCAAAACAAGTTGCCTCTTGGCAAAACAGAACACCTTATTTAAATAGGAATAAATGATTACAGATTAAAGCTAGGTTTTCTCCCCGAATATCTGTTAATCTTCTAATAGTGATGGTTCATCGTACGAGACTATATTACCGATTCAAAGAAAAGAAATGCAAGTTCTAATGTAATGAACGCAAAACCGCATAATTAGTAATGGTATTCCAAGGAATAGTTTGGCAACATCATTACTCGTAGATAGCATTTTCGCAGACTCGCTTTTGCAATGTTTCTAAGTTTAGTTACTGAGTACTTTGATAAGCCCTTTTAAATGCTATTGCATCAATGATGTGAGCCTTGGGCTGTTGAAGCTGACTAGAGCGGTATAAGGTTTGCTGAATGGCTGAACACGCACCGATGTCTGCTAAGAGTCAATGCAAACAAGCTAACAAGGAGCGAAGAGCTATCTACATCTTAATGAGAAATCCATCTTCAAACACCCGTAATAAGCAGAATGTCAAAAGTATCTTCATCCAGGCTAACCTCTAGGCTCATTAAACCGAAGCGAGGTGATCTCGTTTACAAATTTTAAGGATAGCAATCTACCACACCTGGTTATTTCTTTATCGCGAAGTTTATCAAAACAAAATGTCTTTTTGAACCAATCTGGCGCCGTAAAAGTATGCAAAATGGCTATCCGTTTAAACGAGCTGATGTCAAGGACACTAAACTTATTGTGGTTGACATTTAAGTATGGTTTTACATTAGATAAAATGGAGCAGCACGTTTGAAGCCCAAGCAAGTTGGTCCAGTGGGGGCGGCCACCTTATATTTAACACTGACAGAGATGCAGAGATGTCTGTCTGAAATATAGATTAAAAAGCCCTAGCAGCCCATTATAGGCGTACTGTATCTGTTATTCTACTTCCTAAGAGGTACCATAATGAAATCAAAAATTGATTATCCTGTCTAATTAGCATTCGTCACGACTATAAATATTGTTTTAGACTATTATGACTTGGTCATATTCAGTCTAACACTCACTTATTTTGCTGTAAAAATGAAAATACCTTTCAAGATGCCAGGTCATACACATGTTTATCTCCAAGCGGTACCAAATAAGGTGCTGGTAATCCCACCGGAGTATGATGACGAGAACATTCCGTCAGTTTGATACTAGATCCCCCACCTCCCCTCCGGACATTGGTGCTCTTGGCAATTTTTCAATTCTGTTTGATTGATGGAAATGATCTAAAGGACGCAAAAAGACTATTTTTGCCAGTTTGATTCATGGCGAAAGTGGGCCTCAGACTCCCTCTGAATCTGCTTGACCACTAATATACGATAACGAGAGCCTCGTATACTTCCTATATATCGTAGTTTTCTCTAAAAAAATTAACGACTGGAGTTAATTTGATTTTTGTTTTGGGTTCCCTCGTTAAAAATTATTTTCGTTATTATTATATATATTACTGGCATGTTACACAATGTCCCACGCAGTGCAATGAGTGTTTTAGTCTAACGGGTAAGCCCAATCACATGCACGATTTTTTCTCTCTCTCAGACGTTATTTTAGAAGCTCGACAAGAGAAAACTCGCCGTACACCACGGCGCACGCGCACAGCCTTCACGCACCAGCAGTTGGGAATCCTGGAGAAATCCTTCAGTAAAACACATTACCCAGATGTAGAGCTCAGAGAGCAACTGGCTGAGAAGACCAATCTGCAAGAAAGCCGGATTCAGGTAAATAGATTACGTGATGGTTTACAACTAAACTAAAAGTTGCAATGAACGACGTTTACAAAACGACAAAATGAATAGTGCTTATAGTATCAGGGTTTACATTCTAAGCTACGCTGACAAGCGTTTGCTCGTTTGGTTGTTTGTGGCTTAATTCAAAGGAAGTTAAACGAACGTTCAAACCATTTTCACGTTTTAGCCGAAATTAAAATTATTGGCTCTTTGAACATATCAATGTTTAATTTATTCTTCACATCTCGGTTTTAGGTCTGGTTTAAAAACAGACGTGCCAAATACCGCAAGGAAGTAAGAACGTGTCTTCCACAAGACAGCTACGACAGTGATGAGGAGCACATTTCTACTGCTTGTCCAGTGACACCGACCCAAGTCCCGCCGTCTTGTTTTCAGTGCAACACAGTTCCATATTATTTCAACTATAACGAGCCTATAGACTCAATGAGATCTTTTGGATGTTCCACGAGCATGTACCCCACACTCACTTCACACACTCAGTTGGCACCAGCACATGGAATACACGGTTGGCAGCCAGTTACAAACCTGATGATGGATCATAAGCATCTGGGAGATCTGTGGCGTGGATGATAATGATATTAGATTTATCGCCCTATTTTTTCTTTTTTCTTTTGTTTTTCTTTTGTTTTTGTTTTTGTTTTCCGATAAACTCGAAATTACGGAGCACTTTAACCATTAACTAGAGTCTATCTTAGTTATCTCGAACGAAATCCACATATTCGCATCCCACGACAGACGTGGGGCCTTTTAAATTACAAGACACATTCAGAAACTATATGTATGCCCATTGTTTTTCTGCGCGCCGATACAATTTACGCC